TTTTGTTTTTTACCTTTTTTTGGGCCCCCCCCCCCCCCCCCCCTCTGCCGTTTCGAATCGCACTTCCAGACAAACACCATTACTAACATGGCCGAATTCCATACACGTGCGTGGTTGTTCATGTGTTTTATGTTTTGTGTTTTGTTGATGAATAGGTGTCCCCCGGAGGTGCCAATCGAATTTTGAATTTTGAATTTGAATTTTGAATTTGAAGAAGTGCAAAATATGCTGGAGCGAAGTGCTTCCCGGAAACTCAACAAATTTTAATTTTGAATTTTAATTACGAGCATCAGATGAACTAGCGACCCAAAGTGTGCTCGAAATCACTCACTACACAGCAAGGCACAGTGTGATTTAAGTCACAAATAGAGTCCTTGAAGTGTAGCTAAAGTCACATCTAGATGAACTGCAAAATATGAAAAATATCAAAATACGTTTCTGCGGACAGAACATAAATTATTTTTGTATTTTCACTGCTGGGTTATATTTTGAATTTTATATTTTGCACTCAAAAAGTCTGACATTTGGCTCTGTAACGGTCATTTTGGTGCAAAATACAAAATCTCTCCCCGTCACTTTAAATTAGCTGGATTTTCATTTTAAAAAAAATAACTTTCATCAGTTTGCTCTAAATGTCTCAAAGTGCGATCAGGAAAACGGTTAAGTGTGTCTATGACGCAATTAAGAGAGTTGAACATTCACAAAAACCGAGTCGATCGTTAAATTGGTAAGTGAAGCATGCGGAACCGGTGAACGACAGTGCTATCAGAGAGTTCTGATTATGCTTGAGAAGCTTTAGAGCGCTTGCGCTCAAGGTCACGCTGCCGTAACAAGCGTGTGGTCTCACATCGCGCTTCGAATTCCTCCATGTTAATATCATCTTCGTGACTTGCACGTTGCATTCGCTTGGAATTGTAGCGTCGCTTTGCCTGATCGTCGACTGCCATGTCGTAGATTGGGGCCAGCTGGAAACTCTCTTTTTCAAGCCTAACGTTATTCATTGAGGAATGACAATGCGGTTTACCGTCATCAATTCCATGGTTCTTGTCAAACCGAGGAATAATTGACTGACTTTAGGTCTCTATTGTAAAGCACCATAACCGCGCAAAAGTTGTCGCACCATCAACCATTACCAAACGTTGTCACAACCACATTTTACACTCTGTGCGTTTCTCCTCCCACTGTCCGCCGAGCCCGCCAGCGCTTCAAACTAAGCCCACACATCACCCAAGTATGCCAGAGGCACAAGACATGTTGTGCTTCCAGTGCGATCAGACCTTTCATAATCGTGCTGCAAGAGATCAACATGTTGCTCTGGTGTGTTGGATCATCTCGCTCCTCGATCGCCCCTCATGCAAAAAAAAACAGAATAATAACATCATTCTTGAGCTAGAACTCGCATCGTCATCCTCGAGTGTTCACGCCTGATTTTCCTTACCTCCATAGGTCCATCAGAAGAGCACACGCATCAAGCTGTATGGAAGGTCACTGCTTCGATACCGAGAAGATGACGGCTGCTTTCATTGCCCAGTGGAAGGTTGCCATTACCGCCATGGACACGCAGCCAACCTTAAATCACACCTTTGGCATCTGCATGAGAAACAGAGGGCACCTGTAGCAGCAATGCCGGCTGCAAGTGACGACCGCCCGCCTGCTCGCCAAACACTTGCTCGGACCCACACAAAGCCAGCTCGGACGCGCACGAAAAAACGTGTGGTCAAGCTTGATCAACAGCACGGCATTGCCGCGGCGCGAATTTTCATGGACGAGATTGGGTGCCTTGTATCCCCCGTCTTTGAGTCTCCAGTGTGCACGCAGTGCGGCCATGTCCTGAGAGGCCGGGTGACGCATCATCTGTTCAAAAAGCACCATGTGCGGTGCAGCCAAGAAGACATTGATGCAGCCATGGCACTCCTGCGCCCGCTGCAGCCCGAGGAGCCGCCGATCGACATTGGGGCAGAATCAGAGCCGCGTACGCCTCGAAGGCATCCCCATTCTGGACGGTGTGGGTTGCCCCTTGTGTCAGGCATGCTTCACGACAAAAGGCAGTCTGTGGAATCACATCGTAGCTGAGCATCCCGACGAACCAGAGGCCAAGCAGCCGCCTCGACGAGTCAAGCTGCAAAAGCCGCTGCGCGGTGCTGGAGCCCGCTGTGTCGAGGTCATTGTGGAGGAAAGCCACGACGCCTCGGCAGCCGATGTCAGCGAGAACGAAGAGGAGCTCGAGGAGCAGCAGCGGTTCAAGCAGTTTATCTCAAGCACCCAGGCCATGGCCTCAGAGGCTGAGGATAAGCGATGCCCGCACGGCGTTCACCAGATGCATCCGTTCTACGACAGCGTGGGCATGACGCTGGTCATCAACGAGCTGAAGCCAGAGCGCATGGTCGAACTGGGCCACAACACCCCGTCGGCACTCCTCGAGTCGGGCATGCATGAGCTGTTCTGGACGGCCTACGAGCAGCTCTCGGATCAGGGCCTGGCCGCCGCTGCGGTGACGCGTCTGTTTGACGACAATAAAGGGCAGTATCAACATCGCCCCATGCGGCAAGTACAGCCGCAAACCGTCAGCAGGTACCTGAGTCTTGGAACACGCCTGATCCAATTCTTGCTGCTGCTGGAGGCCATGCCAGCCCCCGATCCGTCGAGCTTTCTGGGCCAGGTGCTTGCCAGCCGTGGCCCTGCGGTAATTGATGCCACCGTGGCTCTGAGTGTGGGCCTGGACGCTGAAATGACCAAGAAAGAGCTGGTTGAGCCCCTCACATCCCTGTGGCTGGCCCTGGTGGAGGTGGAGCTGAGCCTCTTTGACAACGACAAGGTGCACTTTGTCAACGTCTTCTTATTGTGCACGGCCGTGTCCAAAGGAAGCGGCATCCTGCAAGACATCAGGCAGTGGACCACGACGCCCGCTGGACTGCTGTACGTTTTCAAATTGTTCCTGCTTCGCCGTGGCAAGAATGAGTCGTGGTCAGTGGCTAACGAGTTGAGGCCGTATATGCAGCCCGGGCGATTGGTGCACTTCTTAAGCCAGCGCATGAGCATGGCACGAACAGCGAGCATGGCCGAGGGGCAGGCTGGAGTCGACGTCGATATCCGAGCCGATGGCGACGTGACGGACGAGACGCTGCGCACCATTGTCTGTCGAGGCATTGAGCTCAATGTGGAGGAGCTTGGGGCTGCGCTGGAGCAGATGAGCAAAAACATGACGGAAATATTGGACAAGCACCTCTTGCTCGACTCACGCCTGCGGAAAGATTACGAGAAAGAATATGAGCGGCTGCGATGAAGGAGG